AAGTCTCAAACTCCGCAATGGTTTGGTCCAAAGAATGGACCCTCTTGGGCGGCATCCCAACCACCCTATCAAAGAGTAAAGGGTGGGGTTACGTAGCACAGGTCTTTCGAGCCACAGGCTTCGCAGTGATCTGGCAGCACCGGAATGAAACAGTGTTCGAAAGCAAGGATTCGACAAATAAGCAGATTCGTAACACTTTCTGCCTGGGGTTGAGAAGAGCCATCCAAGCAGACTGGCGGAGGAAAGTCAGTTACCCAAAGAAATCCCCCTCGGGATTACGCTGGTTTCAGGATACCTGGTCAATAGACCAAACCATAGTGAGAGTGGAAGGTGAGTGCATCATCTTCAGCGACTGGCTCCTCCAGAATTGAACAAGCTTACTTTAGTTTCTCAGTGAGTTTATCTCTCTTCTTTCGACATGGAACCTGACCGCCCGACTGCTATTTTCTTTGGCGGGTCGCCGTAGACAGGCAGACGGGAAGACACAGAGGAGGGAGCGGCATCATTTAGCCCCGCGGATTAGGGGCCTTGCTCTTTAGGATAGATAGGAAGACAGTAAAATAAGATAGGAAGGTTTTTTGTGACGTGTTAGTGTGGAATGATAGATTTATTAGAGGTTAATTTCTTTCATGTTTGGGAACTAGATGCAGAATAGGACTCTACAATGAGTTGTACGGGGTAGATAAGAGACAAAATAGGGGTTACAGGCTTGTCTTTCTGTTATTTTCCTTCCCTCTTATTTTTCTTGATGTTTCGTTATCTTTTTGTGAACAGGGAAGACTTTTTGGTTTGTTAGGCTTTCTAGGCCGTGAGGGCATTGCTTAATTTCCCCCCCCCTTTTTTTTCCCAGGGTTGGGGAATGTCAGAACAACGGTCTGGATTCGGCCATCTATGTTTTTAGACTCTTATCCCCAACGCCTGCACCATAACCTGGGTAATGGTCCCAGAGGTTACTTGTTCCAGTTTCCGGGTTGTTTTGTGGAGGGATTCCCGACCTCCTGCTCTTGTTATAATGAATGGCAAAGTTGATTTGTAAAAAAAAAAAAAAAAAAAAAAAAAAAAAAACAAACAAAAAAAGGGACCAGCACACTGGCTTGCAGTTCATGGCTTCCATGGAGAAGATCTTGTGACGGTATCCTACCGATGACAAAGATACTATCACTGACTGGTGGCTTCTGATCTGACGAGCTGTCTTCCGTAACTGCGCTACTTTCTGCGTGACGTTGCTTTGGGGAAATGGGACGGGCCGGAGGGGGAGCAGTGGAAAGACGGGTCGGTCGGGCCAGTTGCATGGATACCCTCGTTTCTTTTGTTTCTGTGAGAGTCGGTCGGGTCGGTATCGGGAAAATCCCGCCCCGACGATTGGGTAACCACGCCTTAGCGAGCGTGATGGACAACGGTTGCCATGACTTCTTTCTTGTTCTGCTGTGAGCACTAGGAATTTTTGGCGTGATCATCGCGCGGGAATATGGTTTTTGAATTTTTAACTGATGCCAAACCCCCACGGGCTCGCGGAATTGTCTTTGGGCTCTTCGAAATTTCCTTTTTGCAATTAGGACCTAGGGTAGGAATTTAGGTACTCCGAATTTTGCTGCGCCACGCTTCTCACTCGCACACACTTTGCTGCGCTAGGAATTGGGCTCTGACTGGATCGCGCCCTTAATCTTGTGTGACTGTCGTTTTTGGCCGGCGCGATTGTAACTGTATCTTTCTTCTTTCTAGATTTCCTCATGTTCGTCCGCCTTCTTCTTCTTTGTCTTGCATGCTTAATACTTTGTTCTAATTGGCCTGAACGCCTGTACGACCGGATCGATGCATGGAGAGTGTCCCCCACGCCGCGGTCTGGCCATGCAGACGTAGGCACTTCCTCTCTTCTCCTCCTGACCACTTCGGCTTAATCCCGTATCTTTCGCGCAAGCGTGCATGATATAAATTCCGCAAGCGTGATTAGTTTGCTCTCTATGAACTTTGAAGTTAGCACGATCAGTGAGGGTCGGCTAACGAGTCAGCTTGAAGAGGTGAATCGACGAGAGAGTTGGGCGATCCGACGAGCTGGTGTCGGGTATGCGGGGTTGACATGCGGGGCGCGATGGACTCTGGCGCACGGGCGAACCTGGCTTGGATGCTCGAACCAAACGGGGTGACAACTTTGTGTTAATGCGCGGCGACGGACTGCCCGCATCCGGGAATATGGAGAGAGAGAGAGAGAGAGAGAGAGAGAGAGAGAGAGAGAGAGAGAGAGAGAGAGAGAGAGAGAGAGAGCAACTATGTGTGGGATGAGGTCTCTTCTGCCAATCATCTGTATAATTTTGATCTCTATTTTGGCCGATCTTGTTGTGGCACTTTCGGGTTTTTTCTTGTAAATCGTTTTGAGTTTTCTCTGTCGTTTTGCCTCGTGTGTATGCATGGAATGGATGCGAACCCTCTTCGAGTGATCTTTTCGGATTTTAATTCTGTTATGTAATGCCTGTTTAGTTCAAATTTTGTCGCTTTCTAGTATCCATCTTTGTTGTGCAATAATCCCGGGTCTGATTGGAAACACTCGCTATGGATGTTTGGGTTTAATCGTTAGCTTTGATCATTCATTCTGTGAGGTGTTAGCCCTTGATGCCAGGGCAATTGCCCTTCTCCCTTCTCTCCGTCGCATGAATGGCATGGATGTGAATGCAAATGACTGGATCCCACCTGAAATAGTATGGGTAGGATAGTTGCATGCAGGTAGGACACAACCAATACACCGGCGCGAGGAACTCGTGGCTGATCAACTTCCGCTCATGTGTGCGCTCGCGTACGACCGTGATCTCGAGGAAACCGAGTCGCAGCGTACACGCGTGTCTGCATGAGTCGATCTCCATCTTGACTCATTATGAGGATGCGGGAGACCACGTTCACTAATTGGATATGGTTGTAGAACCTTCCTCTTGGATCACCGATCGTAAGAGTCTAAGGGACCTGAAGTATCGCGAATACTGGGAGGGTGAACAACTCAGACGACGGGGAAACTTGAGAAACCCAAAATTTCCATGTCTGACGAAGAACGACCAACTGTGCGCAGGGCACTTTCACTAGGCCATAACCAACGATCCACGGGGCTCGGACTACCCGAATACTAACTACACTCAGTATTACATATCTTCGGGCTTCGTCGTTATTAATACCAGCTTTCCTCCCTTCCATCTCCTCCCCCCCTACCGAGAGAAGGTTAACAATAGTCGTATTTTTCATCACCACTTCAGGACACCCTTCACCACTTTAGGATGCAGCCTTCCTAAACAAGTGGTTTTCAGGGTCTTCGAACCTTTCACCACTTACGGACCATTCAGGTCCGAAAATCCTGAATGGTCCTGAAATGGTGAAAGCTCCGAAGACCCTGAAAGCTACATCCTCAAGTGGTGAAAGGTGGTTTTCATGGTCTTCGACCTTTCACCACTTCAAGACCATTCAGGATTTTCAGACTGCCCAAAACTCTCACTTGACCACTTCAGGACACCCTTCACCACTTCAGGATGCAGCCTGCCTAAACAGGTGGTTTTCAGGGTCTTCGGGCATTTCACCACTTCAGGATGCAGCCTGCCTAAACAGGTGGTTTTCAGGGTCTTCGGGCATTTCACCACTTCAGAACCATTCATGATTTCCAAACTGCCCAAAACTCTCACTTCAGAATTTTCATTCTTGAATTTTCAGCTACCCGATAACCGTTTGTGCCCCTACCATCAACTCACAGTGGTACCATGGAATTCCATAGCTCGCTATTGGCCCTGCACACCGTGCGAAGAGTGCCGGCAGCACCAGGAGTATCGAACTTCGGGATTTATCCGACGAACCCAAGTCGAGGTCGAGCGGCTCCGGCAACTGTTCGAACAGCGCGACAGCCATAACAACCCACCGGTCCATCAGAGACGGGACTGACTGCAACGACGACACTCATACCGGAGGTAGCCCGGTCTCCCGAAGTCCAATATAACTCGGGACCACCATCTTGCTCAACTACCCCTAAGCTTGCCACGGGAGATCTCAGTTTTGACCTGGGACTCCACCCCCAGTTTCCTAAAATCCTTGGCACACCCCTCTTCGCACTTTCGGGCCCCTTAACACTCCGAAACAGTAAGTCACGCTGGGCGTGAGGTTGGTATTGGAGCCGATACGTGTGAAGACAAAGGATTGACAAGTGGTCTGGCTCCTCCAGTCAACGAATCTGGCAAGTCCTAGACAGGAACGAGCTAGACAGAGAAACACGCGGACGAGCGATCTGATAATAACTAGAAGTCGCTCCGCTGGAAGACATGCGGGTAACATAAACGCCAATCAGGTGCAAGGTGGGGTGAACCAACCGAATTTGGCTCCCCCGCAGCCTCCATGTGCGAGCGGCCCAGCCACCCCGCCTGATTTATACCTCTTTGATCCTACACACCACTTGGCAGGAGCATGACTTGCCACGTTCCGAGCGCAACAATATGATAACGATGAAACCAGGATCAACGTCCCCGCTCGATTGGGCGGAGACGCGCACCATTGGTTTAGCACGTACACATGGATCGATCTTCCGACGTTCGAAAGAGATTTCTTACACCAATTTGACTATATTCATCCTGAACAGGCATTCTTCCTGATCAAAGATCGGGTGCAGAAGCCGCTTGAATCTGTAGCAGAATACTGAAGTCAATTCTACCAATTATTTATCAAATCACAGAGGGAAGAGACGGTCGGTAGGGAATTTTTCATTGACGAACTCCGAAGCTGAGCAATGAGGGTCAAACTGCGAAAGCAATTTTCCCCCATTACCCACAATTTTTGCAGCAAATAATGGACGACGCCGAGGAAATGGAGCGAAAGTTCGCTGCCAGCTTCCTCGAAGGCGAGGATCATGTTAAAGAGGGGGATACGTCCGAACTTACACGAGCACGAATGAAGCTCACTACGCTGCAAAACAAATTCGAAAACATGGATTTTGTCGCAGGACCCGTCACCTACCTGGAGCCAGTCGGGGTGTAGAAGCCGATGGTCAACATGACCATTGCACCACCTGTTATGACGTCTCCGGCTCCCTCGTCCTCGAAGGCCGAAGAACCCAACGCTATCCTAGAGCTAACATGAACATTGATAAACCTCATGCAGGAAAGTAAGAGGGAACAGCGGGAATAAAACGCTCGAATGGAAACACTACTCCGCTCGATGCGCCCCATCACAGTTCGAGCTATTCCCATGGGAACGGGAACCGCGCAGACAGCAGGTGTTGTCGCAACAGGAACAAGGGTGCGAGTCGACGGTTGCTACACGTGTCACCAACCAGGACATATAGCACGAGACTGTCCCAACCGACCTGCACCAGCTCGGATCGGACCAGCGCCAGCGGCCGCAACACCTATTGCCAACGGACCAGGAAGGGTAGCGACGATGGTAGAAGAGACTGACAACGGTGCAGGCCCGTCGGGGGTTACGGAGGAAGCCGCAAAGCTTATTCCACTCGACCAATATATATCGCTAGGATACCCGGGTCGTGGAATGATCGGGCCCGGCTATCCAACCTGCCCCTGACAATAACGAGGTCTCAGAATGGAGGCCCTGCCCGAGTGAAATGAAATCTGGAGGACCCGCGTTCGTTACGGGAGAAATCGATGTACTAGATATAGTGCGAGCACTGGATCACCGTATCCCTCTACCGATTGGACACTTGTTGTCCATCTCCGAGGAGACTAATGACCGGATGCTACAACACTGCAAGGCAAACCGAAGACGGTTTGCCCTCGCCAAACTAACAACCGCAAAAGGAAAGGCCCCCACCAAAGATCCGAAGCCAGATGAGCTGAGCACCTCGGAACCCGTTCGGATGGGCCTGATCCGGAAAGATGATCACTTCCTGCGGATCAGGACCCTACTATGGAGATCCGCGGAGTGTGACGTGGAAGTCTGGGGCAACCCCCACAGTGCAGTCCTCGACTCCAGAGCCGCGGTCCAGGCTATCTCCCGGTGGTCGAACGGGCTAGAAGGTGGAAGGATGTGATTCCACTCGCGGAAGGCGATCATTTCATTTCCGCTGATGAAGGTAAGATTTGAGTTGTCGGGAGGATGGCAAATGTCGCCTTCCGAATAGGAAAGGTTCACGCCTTAGGCAACGTAGTGGTCATAAATGTAAACACATACGACGTCCTCGTCGCATTGCCAACACTCACTGCCTTGCAGGCCACGCTGGACTTCAAGCGACGAGCAGTCATCCTCAAAAACACGGGAGGGAAGTCGTACATTGTTCCAATGCGCCTTACCCTTTGAACCACCTCGACGTCTGAGCGACAACGCCAGGAACCAGGTAAAACCCTACGAATGATGATATGGGAAGAATCCACGGATGAATCGGACATTGAACCCATACCACCATCGTCCACCTCTGAGCGGATCCTCAAATTCTCGAGTTGGCACGACAGATAGTACACTACCCGCTTCGAAAAAAAATGACAAAAACTTTCATTTTTATATAAAACATAAGGCGAACTAAAGTGCTAATTATGGGAGAACCACTAGTGCAGATATCTAGACTAGCCGACTCTTGGGAACCCCCTCGGACCATATACGAGGCAACCACTCCATTCTTGTTCAGATACCACGACAAACGATCCTTTTGCAATGTCCCAAAAATTCCTCCCAGTTCGTTGCTCACGGCCGGGAAGGAAATCCGACTGTTACGGAAAGGCACTGAGGATTGGACTTCGGAACCCCCTGCGGCCTGGGCTATATGACCTCGCCCCGTTCGATATTGGACTGAAAATCACGGAGAAAGTCATGGACCCCCGGGATATCAAAGATGGTATTACCCCGGGGGAACACATGGCAATTCAAGAAGAGGAAGCTCAGATGGTCGCCACGGTCTTCTCTTCGTGCTCCGACAATTCGTTTATATCGTCCCCACCCACAAAGAAGACTCCCGCTACCCGGATGAAACAGTTACCGATCGTGATACGAGACTGTCACTACGAACTGCACGTGCCCGAGTGTGTGTCGGATGAGATACACAAAATCATCTCTAACATTTTGACGGAATATCAGGATGCGATTAGTGTAGAGGATGCGGACATCGGATTATCCCTAGTCATACATCACGAGATTCAGACTGGCACCCATCCGTTGATTCACTGCAAACCGTATCGATATTCGTTGGTTAAAAGACGAACGGCCCTAGAGTGGATCAGGGAATTCGAGGCCGACGGATGGATTGAGCCCGCTACAGGACTGTTGTCCTTCCCCGTGGTTTTAGTCCAAAAAAAAAAGACCGGATCCATTCGGATTTGCATCGATTACCGAAAATTGAATGATATCACGATCAAAGATGTGTACCCCCTCCCTCGGATTGATGATTTGCTGGATGTGATTGGGTGTGCTAAGTTGCTAACTATTTTAGCAAGTTCGACATCCGCCACGGGTTCCACCACATACTGGTCAAGGAAGAGGATCGTCCGAAAACGACATTCGTACTGTTCGAAGGCACGTAGCAATCGATTCGATGTCCTATGGGGATTTGCAATGCTCTGACTACGTTCCAAAGAGCGATGAACGCGACTTTTCAGAACTTCGTTAACAACTTAACAAGACCCGGCTGACACAAGGAATGGTGAATTTTTGCGTCATCGTGTATATGGACGATATCCTGGTATATTCGAACTCTTTTCACGGGCATGCGCAGCATATCGAGTGAACACTTCGAGCGCTGCGCAACGCGGGCTTTAAAATTGCCCTGGAGAAAAGCAAGTTTTTCCTTTCGGAAATCTCATTCCTCGGGTACGTGGTGACTCGGGGAGGCTTACGGCCGGACTTGCAGAAGGTGGATGCAGTTCGAGACGCGCCCACGCCCACGTCGCTGACACATGTCCGAGCCTTTCTGGGGTTCGCGTCCTACTACCGCCGATTTATCAAAGGTTTTGCGGCAATCGCACGACCCTTGACGAATCTTCTGCGCAAGGACCAACCGCTAACCTGTGACGGGGAATGTGAACGGACCTTCTCCACTTTGAAGGAGGCCCTGGCCTCCGCGCCCATCTTAGTTCGACCGGATCATGGGAAGCCATTCATCCTCATCACGGAATGGCAGTCGGAAGCAATCTCCGCCATTTTGGCACAACAGGGGAAGGACGGCCGCGAACACGTCGTCGAGTATGCGTCCCGGACAATACCCGACGAGCGGAAAAACGATTCGGCGCCCCAGGGAGAATGCTACGCGGTGGTGTGGGGCATCCAACATTTTCACCCGTACCTGTATGGGCAGAAGTTTCTTCTCGTCACTGATCACGAACCACTGCTGGCGCTCAAGAAGTTGACTAACTACACGGGAATGATCGGGCGATGGGCAGTACGATTGCAGGAATACGACTTTGACATCGTCGATCGTAAGGCAGAAAAACACGGGAATGCGGACGGACTAACACGTCTGCACAGGCCAGGCAAGGTGCCAAAGGGGGAAGAGATCACGTCGTGGAAGGAGCCGAAGCAGAGTGAAGGGCTTGAGTACGGACAAGTGGCAATCCTTCCACGTACTTAGAAGTGATACGTGTCAATGAGTGACAGAGGTAATTTTGGAGGCCCCTTTTCTCCCCTCTCGTCCTCGTCTCTCCTCTCCTTACCTGACAAGTTTTGCTACTTCTGGGAGGCAATCTCGCGTGTCTATTCGGTCCCTATGCGTCCTAGCGCGGAAGGGTACGTCGAATGTGTAGATTGTCGACAATGTGTCTCCAGGGCCCACGGCTCCTGCATTCAATACCGAAACACGGACAAGGCTTGGTTGTGCCCCTTGTGTCGATCCGATAAAATTCCTACTGAAGCCCGATTTCTTGAAGCCATGTCGGAAGGTTTAGAAAAGACCCGTAGGTTTAGAAGGGCGGAGGTATGGACAAATATCATTTTGATAGCTACAGTGGTCGGTAACCCCCTCCGAGACTTCACCAAGGAAGACCGTAGAAGGGCCAATGAGAGGGTCCGGGACTACCGATGGAACGAGGGACGATTGGAAAAGCGAAAAACCAACGGTAGTAGGATTTGGATGTCAGTACCCCATCCGTTCATGAGGTATGACTGGGTTAAGTCGGCACACGAGGAGACTGCAACTCACGTCGCCGTACGGATTATGGAGGCGGCGATTGACAAGAATGAATGGTATTGGTCCAATATTCGTGATAATGTTAAGTTCATCGTCCAAAACTGTCAGGTCTGCGCCAACAACAAAGCGTCGATTCAGCCGCCTAGGTCGATAGTGCCCACCGAAGTCCAACGACCATTTCAGAGGGTTAGCATGGATACTACGAACGTCGTCTCGGTACCGAACCTGAATGATGAAACGACACTCGGCCGATGTCCCACAAGAGCAACAGCCAAGGAAAAGGCAAAGTGCCATTTGGAGCTTATGGAGCGGGCCCTTCCAAGATTGGCCCGAAAAAGGCAGAGAATGATCGAATTGGCCCACGACCGTTAGATCTGCAGTTACGAGGCCCGAAACGGAAATACAGGTCCCCGGCCCAGTATAAATTGGGGGACTTGGTGCAGGTGAGGAAATGTGCTCGTCAAGGAAAACTAGCACCACGATTCTTCGGATGCTTTC